AGAGAGAGAGAGAGAGAGAGAGAGAGAGAGAGCATGGTGGGGGGACTCCTTTTTTATTTTACTTTTTACTAAAAGAAAGCATATGGTGGCTACCCTTGGAGGAAGAATGACCACCGACTGGTCCGTCCAACCAACTGGAAAGGCCTACCCCACCCCACCACAATGGGCCTGAGAGCTGTCTAATGATGCAATTTGGGCATTTGATTGGGACACTATTATTGGAGTAGTTGATTTAAGTTTGGTTTTAATTTTAGGAATAACACAATATTTTGTTGTGTGATTATTTGGCTCAACCTGTTTTCGCATAACCGATCAACTAAGAGCATCCACAATGGATGCGTTAGTGAATGTGTTAGTGTCAGGTGTTAGTTTTTGATCAGCTAAAAATACTGTTGGGTGTTGCAATGGGTGTGTTAGTAGGTATGTTAGTGTTGTGTTAGTATCAGCTGTTAATTTGTGTGTTAACTGTGACCAGTGTTTTAACTAGCAAAGGAAGAGAAAGATGTGTGCTTAGGGAAGTTTTTCCGGACGTTTGCCGTCGGAAGTTCACCTCGGGCGTCTGGACCCTTCAAGAAAGGGAAAATAATAATAATAATAATAATAGTTTAGGTTTGACCGGTTGACCGACCATACATTCGGGCAGTCAATTGGTGGTCAACTGATTTTTATTTTATTTTTTTTTTACATGTTGGGATTTTTTTTTTTATTTGAAATTTAATTTTGGGCTTCAAATTTTTGATTAAACTAAATTATTTATTTATTTTATTTATTATATACACATATATATATATATATATTTAACACACACCTTAACACATCCCTTAACACATCCATTGCACCACTACTCACTTTCTAAAATTAACAAACTCTTTCATAATTACATCATAATCGGCTTAATGGGCCAAGTGGGAGATTGTTGGATTTATTTTCTAGTGTGGCCCAATAGCCTACATATTTTTACATGTTTTATTTTATTTTGACTCCACAATTAGATAAAGCCAATATTATATATAAAGTTTAGTAATTTGAATTTTAATATAATCACTCTTCTAAGATAAGAAGAAAACCTTGATGGATTAAGAATTCTTCTGATAGAGTTTATCTGACCCTCTTCTCTCTTCTATATAAGGATGGGTGACTCCCCTTCTTTTGTTAGTATTCCATTACTCTAAGTTTTATAGTCATCCTAATGAAGTGAGAGACAGAGAGAAGAAGGTGAGCCAAGAATTAAAGGTTCAACTGCTGTATTAAATTCAAGATCCTGTTAAGTTTAATTCCGCATTATTATTATGGTTACATGTATTATTAATACTTACACCAGAATCCTGGACGTGGAGCTTATTATGATGGACCTATGAGCCCAAAACTTGACCATCTAGTCTTCAAATACTTCTATTTAAGTTTCGTTTCGGAACAGATTATTTTATTTACAAAAAAAATATGTAAAAAAAGTAGAAAAAATAATGTAATAATTTATAGTCACTTTTTAATTTTTTGGCTAAAATTAAAAGTTGCCAAACGAGGCCTAAGTTATATTTGGTTCACTAAAATAAAGTGTAATTAAATAATCATTTTATTAAATTATTTATTCTTATGTTTCATTAGACTAAAAAAATAATTATTACAAATAAAATAATCTTTTATCATTTTTACAAAATAATTATTTCATGAGAAAAATTAAGGAATGGTCATTCTATCCTATTGTTTGTGATGTAATGTAACATAGCTTTAGTTGAATGACTGCAAATTTCAAACAGGGAACTAAAGGGATTTTAAAAAATGAAAACGCAAAATTTATCTAATAATAGTTTTCGTGAATCGGAATTACTGAGGATCTAAGTAATATAGTTATAAAAATGTCAGAGATTCCAAATCACTTATCAAATATTTTAAACAATATTCACATTAGTATGTCCTTGCACCCATATGAGTCTCGTATACAATATTTGACCATCTTTTTTGGAGTCATGACATTACTCATAAAATTAGGGCTGTGCTTCCCTTCAATTTAGATCTAGATTGAAAAGTGTTGTTCGAGTTCATGGAACTCATCATGAGTTCTATTTCAATGATATGAATAGTTCATTTTGTAAGGTTTTTTGTACATTTTATCTATATAAAAAAAAACTTGGTCGATTAAATAATTATAGCATATCCAATTTATTGTCTTTGCTACTAAAAAAATAATTAGTTTATTTTAAAAAACACACTTCGTCAATTTTTTTGAAAGACAAATATGGCAAATTGAATAGGGTCAAATTATAGAATCAACCTTTTTTTTTCTTTTTCTTTTTTAATATAGATGATATCCATAAAGGACTTTACAAAGTAAACGGTTTAGATTATCGAAACGGAATCTGTGACTACGATTATCAGATCGACTTAATTGTTTTTATGGATGATATACATGAAGAATCCTACGATATGAACGATTTGGATTATCGAAACGAAATCCGTGGCTACAACTATTGAATTGACATAATTTTTATTATGAATAATATACACGAATGACCTTATAAAATGAACAATTTCAATTATTAAAATGTAATTTGTGATGGGCTTTATGGGCTTGGACAATAATATGACAATCCCACCACGTATAATATTTTACATTTAATTAATTAAAGAGATTTGAATTTTAATTCCCTATTATTCTGATTTAATTGTGAAATTGATGAGCATTATTGAATCTGATTCTTACATGATTTTGTTAAAGATTTATTTCGGAGTTAGAAATTAAAGGCTTAAATGGCTTAAGAAGGTATAATTGGTGAGTTGAATCAGTTTAATTTTAAGTATTGAACCATATAGGAGTTTAATTAAATATTCGATTCAGTTTAGTAAAATTAAGATGTGATTAATTGAGTCCTAATTCGAGTTAATTAAATTAAGGGCTGGGCTTCCCTCCAATCACAAACTGGAAGGTACTGTTGGGCCTGTGGAGACCCATTACGGGTTCCGTTTCGATTGTCCAAACCATTCAATATGTAGACCTCGTCAAGTACTATATGCTTGTAAACGATCACGTTGATCGGATATCAATAGATATCTCATCGAATCAGATTTCTGTCAACTGTTTATTTTTTCACCGTCTATTTGTTTTTACACAAAACAAATTTCATCACATAATTATCGATATCTAATCAATGTAATTTTTTACAGGCATATAATACTCGACGATTTCTACACATTGAACGGTTCAGATTATTGAAAAATGAGACTTGTGGTAGGCCCCCATGCGCCCAACAGTATCCTCCAGTCCAATCACGAATTAGAAGGAATCCAGCCGCTTAAATTAATTAAGTTATGAGAATTGAAAATTGTGATTATTTTGAATTGAATTTACTTGTGAGATGTCTAATTTGTATATGTAATTTATTGAGAGAAATTTTGAGTCTGATTTGAAATTAAAGGCTTTAATGAATTAAGAAACCAAAATTGATAATGTCAATAAATTTAATTTGATATTTGGAAGCTTTTGGGAGTTTGGTTAAAAATCTGATTCAAATTGGTAAAACTAAATATAATTAATTATGCCTTAATTGAGGTTAGTAAGACTAATTGAGTTATCGGGAAATTTTGATTAATTAAGCCTCCGTTTGGGAAGTGGGTTGGCTTTTTGGCTTTTTGACTTTTTTGACTATTTTAGCCTGGGCTAAAAAGCTTGGTTTGGGAATGGCTTTTTAGCTTTTTTGGCTTTTTTGTGAGAGAAGAGTGTAATGATTATGGGTTGGATGTGATGTTTTGTTTGTTATGGCTAAAATAGCCTATTTTGTTTTTTGTGGCTAAAATAGCCAAAAAAGCCCAACCAACTTCTTCCCAAACGGTGCCTTGCGTGCTAGTCAAAATTAATTAAGTGTGATTCAATTAAGATAATACATAATTAGTGCAAATCTAATCCCAATTAAGTGTGGTGTGCTGGAAGTATTTTAGTGTGTATGTGTGCATGTCATTGTTGTGCTGGAGCTCAAAGAAGATGTGCAAGTGTGTGCACACACATGGGACATTATTAAGAAGTGAGGTGTGTGTTATATATGCGAGTCAAGAAGAAGAGAGGGTTGCTAAAAAAAATAAAAAAGAAAAAGGGGGAGCTCATTCTTCAGTCCTTCATTTATGCTGGAAAAAGTTTAGAAAGAGAGTGGATTTGAGAGCTCAAGAGTGTAGAGAGAGAAACCCACATTGTGTTGGGAATTGAAGGAAGAACAAGAGGAATTGGAGAGAAATCACTTCTACTTTATGAATTAAAACTTAAGGTATGAAATTTATATTCAATTTATGTGGAATCACCATACTATACTTGAGATTAAGAGAGTTTTGGAATCATATTCATGAAATTGCAAGGTTTTAACAATATGATGAAGAAATTGGGTTTTGAGTAGGAAATAGAGCTACATGCATATTCATGAAAGTTAATTTTTGATTTCATCATTCTGGGTTTGGATTTTGAATTCTTGCATGCATGAAAGTTTTTAAGTTGCACATGATTTCAGAAAAGTTCTTGGACTACATGATTAATTTCATACTTTAAAATCAAGAGAAAAGAATTGGAAATTCTTTGCATTCATGATGATTTAAATTAAATTTTGGTAAATTGATTAGATTTTGAGCAAATGGTTTATAAATGGTCATGTATCGGAATTTTCCAAAGCATTTTCATATTTTTAAATAAGCCATGCATGACTCCAAATTTTGAAATGGTATTTGGGAGTTCAAACTTTCAGTTTTGAAATCCAGATTTTTCATAGATCGCTCGAACGACAAAATGGTGGATCGAGCAAACTTTGCGAGCTTTTAAAACTTTTACAATCTCTACAGACTATTCAAGCGACCAATTAGGGGCTCGAGCAAACTTACTGTATGTTTGCCAGTTGCTCGAGCAATCAAGGGTTGGCTCGAGCGCACATCTGACCCATTCAGTATTTTTGCAAATAGTACAGTCTACTCGAGAGACCAAGTGGTAAAAAATTTAGTAAAATGCTACTGTTTCTAACATTTTTAATTTGGATATAGAGTAACAGGTGTATGAGCATTGATCGAGTTGGTGGATTAATAAGGACAAGCAAGACGGCTCATGGAAAGATTTGGGATAAGTTTGAGGCATGAGAAAAAAACGCATAAAGTGTGTCACCTCTCAAAATTTAAAGGAGATAAATTGTCCCTGGTTCACATGGATTGCATGGAACTATTCGACATTGTGAAGTGCATCAAGTGTATCGGTTTAATCAGTCGAATGGTTTATTTTATCGGGTATTTTGTATATATCATTTAAAAAATGATAATTAAGTTGATCCGATAATTATAACTTATTTAATTTATTGTATTTGTCAACAGAAAAATGGACAACAATTATGTTTTTAAAATAGATCATTTGTTTTTCTTTTTATTTATTTATTACAAAGCGAAAAAATAATTATCGAATCGATCTAATTGTTTTGTGTGGATGATGTACATGAAGTACTTAACAAAATGAATAGGATCCATAGTCTCAAACAATGATTTCCAATCCAAATTACGGACGGAAAAGAAACTACCTCCCAATTTAATAACCGAGGGGCATAAATTTTGAAAATCTTTTTATATAGACTTGATCTAATATGAATTTATTTTAATAAACTTGTTTGGTTTTAATTTTTTAAATTCAATTTTTTTAAAATTGAGTTTTTTATTTTTGTATTTTTTAAAGAATTTTTTTAATATTTTAAATAATTAGATGCACCTAAAAAATAAAATATTTATAAAAAAATATTAAAAAATTAATAAATACATAAGAATATGAAAATATATTGATTTTTTATTTTTTTTATTTTTGGTATTGAATGAATTTTTTAAAGATTTTTTCATAAATATCATATTTTTCAATTGTATTTATGTTAAATGTATGTAAAAAGTAAAAAACATATATATATTTATAATATTAAAAAAAATTATTAAAAATATGAAAAACAAAAAACTCAATTTTAAAAAAATTGGAACCAAAGAAGATAAAAAATTTCAAAAAGAGAGTGCAGTTTAACCTTAAAACTTATTCAATTTGAATTACATTCCTAATATTAATAACATTTTATGTTAGACTATTACAGTATAAGATATAAATAAATGTTCAAAATATGCTTCTGTACATATCCCTTGGCACACTGCTGGAAATTAGGCTTTTAGCGGCGTTTAAAAAACGCCGCTATAGGTACCAAAAACGTCGCCAATACTTTTTGTGACGTTTAATACCAAACGCCGATGACGCGGCCGTCGCTATAACTTTATGGCGTTTGGAAACGTCGCTGTATTAGTATAGACGGCGTTTTTAAAAACGCCGCCAAATGCCCTGCCTTAACAATACTGTGACGTCAGTATGCTTTTAGCGACGTTTTTAAAACGCCTTCATAGGTTTTTTAATTTTAAAAATTCCAACCGTTATAGTGGCATTTGAAAAATTTAGATTGTTTCATTCAAAATTCAATGGTTAATTTCCCGTCCAAATGCTTTTTAATAATTTAGATTGTGTCATCCAAAATTCAATGGTTAATTTCCCGTCCAAATGCTTTTAATAATTTTAGATTGTTTCATTCAAAATTCAATGGTTAATTTCCCGTCCAAATGCTTTCTCTCTCCTCTTAAATCATCAGCTAAACCTCTTTGCTTAAAAATCTAAGCCCAAACCTCTCTCTCCTCTGCCTCTCCTCTCTTTGTCCTCCACCTCTCCTCTCGCAATACTCCCACCGACTACCACGACCACCAACCACCCCACCACCATCACCTCCATCTACTCTCATCCTCATTTATTGTCTCTCTTCTTCGATGGTTGTTTGTCCAGCCAAATTAGAATGCCCCGTCCCCATTCTCTCTCTCTCTCTCTCTCTAAAATCTAATCTCTCTTCATATACGTCATCACACTCTTCATTTTTTTTTATTATTGCTCTCTCTCTCTCTCTCAGATTTCCATTCTCTCAAACCCACAATTTTTTTTTTAATCACAACCCATCCTCCACAATTGATTAATTAAACCCATCATCCCAAACTCTCAATTTTTTTTTAATCACAACCCATCCTCCACAATTGACTTTTTAAACCCATCATCCTTTCCAATTTTTTTTTTTAATCATACTCATCTCATTCTCTCTCTCTCAGGCTCATTTGTTTTTTTCGATCCATCCAAATTGAAGAGCCAAGCACCAAGAGATGCTCTACAACTTTCAAATTCATAGAACTTTTTTAATATTTCAACCTTTTCTATTTCTTCAACCCACCTGGCATGTCTCTCACGGTTGTTTATTTTTATTTATTTCATTTCTATAACTGACCAAACTACCCCCATTTATGTAAAATATTTACGACTTCACCTATGTAACACATTTTGACCCATGAGGGTAAAATTGTAATTTCACCGTTGGCTAAAAACCAACTTTCCAAATGAAAAAAAAGACAAAAAAGCTAACTTTTGGCTTTTGCTACAAACCAAAAAAGTGACTTTTAGCCAACTTCCCAAAATAGCCCAAAATGTCCCACAACTTTTGGAAAGTTGAAGCTTCACAAAACCCAAAACAATAATGCAAGCATGGCTTCGATCAATGTGTGAGGCAATGTGTGGCGGCAGATCCCACGTGGATTTGTTTTTCGCAAATTTTTTTATTTTGTATTTCAATTTGAGAAATGATTGAGACCCTTAAAAAACACACCACAAAAGCACTAATGAGTTGAAAAATATATTAAAAAAAAAATAATAGAGACAACCATCACATCAAGGGAGGAGTCATCTTATTAGTGCTCTCTTAATACTTTGTTTTTAGTGTTCCCAAGCATTAATCTTTTAATATTCACCCATTAGTACAATAAAATTTATAAGAGATCGTTTGACATTGTTAGCATCCGTTTGGAAAGTAGATTGACTTTTTTTACTTTTTTGACTATTTTAGCCTGAGTTAAAAAGCTTAATTTGGGAAGGACTTTTTGACTTTTTGATTTTTTTGACTTTTTTTGTGAGAGAATAGTATAATAATTATTGATTGGATGTGATGTTTTGTTTGTTATAGCTAAAATAGTCTATTTTGTCTTTTATGACTAAAATAGCCCGAAACTAATTTGTCAAACGGACCCTTAATATAGTTAATTGTTTTGTGTTGAGATTTTTTTAATCTAACTTTTTTAATTTCATTTGATTTTTGTTGTGAGATTTTTTTGATTTTCGTGAGAAAAAAAGTATAATAATTATAAATAAAAAATAATATTTTGCTTTATTAGTTTATATAGCTTATTTTTGTCTTTTTATGCTTTTTTAACCCCAATAAGAAAACCAAATGAGGACTAAGATGAATTATACTAATGGTCCTATAGTTTGGGCCTGTCACTTTGATCTCTGACTTTTCAATTGTGATATATTTAATCTTGAATTTTCAATCTTGTTTCAAATAAGGACAATTGAAGATTCCATTGCTCAATTTCGAGGGCAAGATTGTTAATTTGATAAAATATAAACTAATTTGACAAAAATAAATGTTAAAAATATTTTTAAATTTTTAAAAATTACTTCTACCCACCAAAGATAAAATTATGTAAAATTGATAAATCTTTTAGACATTTCTTATTTTTTTTACCAAATTAATTTTTATTATGTGTTTAGATGATCATGTAATGGGTGGTTGTTTTTATTTTTATCAATTTTACATAATTTTATCTTTAGTGGATAGAAATTATTTTTAAAAATTTTAAAATATTTTTTTAACATTTATTTTTGTCAAATTAGTTTATATTTTATCAAATTGACAAATTTATCCTTAAAATTAAGCAATAATATCTTCAATTATCCTTATTTGAAACAAGATTCAAAATTCAGAGTCAAGTATATCGCAATTGAAAAATCAATGACCTTTGACACAAACTCCAAACTATAGAAACTATTAGTGTAATTCACCCAAATATATAATAACATCTAAAATTTTGTAACATAATGTTATCTCACCATAAATCATAATCATTTTATGTTAAATCATTTTCAAAAAAAAAAAAAAGTGCTTAACTGGAAAATGTATTTTTTTTTGGGTTAGCAAATTTAAATTGAATTCTTTAAAATGTAATTTTTTCACAAGGCTAGTGACAGAGAGAAGAAAGATAATAAGAGTGGTGTGATTTGTTTAAAGACTAAAAAAAGAGGTTTTTTTTTTTTTAATAAAACTTTTTTCCCCAACTCAGTGACAAAGGCCACGAGACATATTCTTATAATAAATTACTTTTTACGGTTTTTACTTTAATTTTATTGGGTGCATTTTTATCCGAATAATTTTACAAAATTAATTTAAAAGCCAAAACTAGATCTGTATTTATATTTTACATTTATATTTTGACCTCAAATTTTTAGCAATGAATATAATAAATTACATTTTAATTTAATAATTATATTTTAATCACATCATTAATAAGACATACACTAGTACTTGTATATCTTAAGATTAATCAAAGAGGTCGAGGACCACTAAAGCTACAGTCCAAAAAAATAATAAGAAATTTGTCCATATTTCAAACCTGTAATGGAGATCCAAGAGGTGTTTTTTAGGTCCATGCATAAAATAAATTTAAATAATGTTGAATAAAATTGAGATATTTATTCATAAATTACTTTTCATTTATTTATATTTAAAAACAGGCTAATTTAGTAACTTTTTGACTATTTAGCTAAAATATGAACTAAAAAAAACTAGTATGTTTGAGATGACTTTTTAATTTTTTACGAAAAGATGTACAAAAAGTAAAGAGAAAATAGAATTTTTAACTTTTTTGTATGAGTTGTTGACTTTTTGGCTAATTTAGTAATTTTTTGACTTTTTGACTAAAAAGAAAGGTTTCCAAACGAGGCCTTAGTCTAAATTATCTTATTATATTTCAATGTGTTATGGGTGACATCGTTACTAAGATATCTCTAATAATAATAGGGTAAAATGCATTAATGTTAACAGTGTGAATTTACCGTGATGTGAACATTCATACTATCAAATATGAATGTTCGTATCACTAAATTGTTAAGAATACAAAAAATATTTGTAAGTGTACAATTGTTCAAAAAATTACCTTAAATCTGAGAAGTAGAATTTAGTGAATCAAATGTCCAAATAATATGACTTAAAATACAAGAATATATTATGTATTAATTCAGATACAAATACTTAATAAGATTTCCTAATAAATTTCTCAATAAAATATTGAGTATATATTATTATTCGGTCCAAGACACACAACTACACTCATATTCATACCGTTAATGTAACATATACTATCATAGCTTTCGTCGAATTAATGCATATTTCAAACAAG